AGAGAGACAGGAGAAGGAGGAGGTGGGGGTTAGAGACAGGAGATAGAGAGACAGGAGAAAGGGGAGGGGGGGGTTAGAGACAGGGGAAGATGGAGAGGGCTTTGCCAGCGATGAAAGCAGAAGGCGCAGAGGAAGGGTGAGGGCAGCAGTCGAGCGCGGCGCTGGGGGAGCTGGGGCACGGCCAGCAAGTGCATTTACACAGGGAGATAACAGTTCCATCAGAGGCGGGGCAAGGTGACTTTGGGAGACTCGCGGATACCGGCACAGCTTTCAGAGGATCAGCAGCCCACACTTTAGCACAGCAGGTCCCTTCAAGACAACGAGCGTTTTCTTACATTACAGTCTCAATCCAGAAGAGAGAAAACCATCAGGAGCCCAGTTTTTTTTTCTATCAGACCAAACTTCCTTCATTTTTCTCTTTGACTGATTCTTTCTTACTTATTTATTAAATTAAATCATTACATTATTACTTAATTAATTCACTTTTCAATGGGGCCACCCACCCCAGTACTGACCCAGCCCAGCCTTGTTTAGGGTGAGATGTGATGCAGTCAGGCTACAAGGTGGCGATGGTGCTTCTCAGCTTTGCTGTACAACTATTCGCAGAAGTTCTTCAGGGCTAAACTAGAAGATTCACAGTATTGCTCCACAGTGATTGATTGTAATTGCTCTGTCTGGGTGGAGATGATTGATTCGATTTTAATAATTAATCAAGATTGATTCAATTCTAGCAGAACATTGGCTGCTGTGTTTTTCTGCACCAGCAAGGTCCGATAACTTTCTCTGCGCCAAGCCTATAAATTATTTTTACTCTCTTTGTCTGCTGTGGGCTGAAGCCGAAGATGAGCGCAATGCCCAGCCACTTTGCAGAGACCAAAATTCCCAGAAATGTGCGCATCCGTTCGATTTCTCCGTGAGCGCCGCGTCAGAGGACAGCTGAAAGCCAGACGCGCAGGCAGCGTTCGAGAGAGGACAGCTGTGCTGAGTGGGGCTCAGCTGCATGAGGATGACAGCACAGACGGACGTCGGACAGAGGGGTGTGGAGAAGGCAAACCCTTCAAATAAGTCACAAGCTGAAATACAATTGAAACACACTGACCAGAAGATGACAGGCCCGCACCGGGAGCCAAGCTGTGACCCGCTGATAGAGTCCCGGCTGACAGACAGGCCGATAGGCAAAAGGCCAACAGTCACAGCGCCCAATTAGAAACACACGCTTCAGGCATTGTCTCTGGTGCTATTCTTATTCTTATTATGTCCCAGAGGCTGCTGGCATTCCAGGAAATACCAGGGCTGGGGCCGAGTTCAGACAATATAGCACACAGCAGTTCCAGATAGCTTGGCCCGGCTCTTGGTTACAGGCTAACCTTTGAGAAACATTCGGATGCCACGTACAAGAAGAGCCAACTGCGATTGTTTTGCCTGAGAAAGCTCTGCTCCTTTAGTGTGCGTGGTACAACGATGAGTGTGTTCGGCAGAACCTGTAACGAGTCTGTTCTGACTCTGGTCTGGTAACCTGAGCACACGCAATAATACCTGACAGCAGGATTGTGAAGGGAGCCAGAGAGGTAATCCCGGCGTCCTGGCCAAATTCCCCATTGGCCCTTACCAATCATGGCCTCCTAATAATCCCCCTCTATGAATTGGCTTCATTACTCTGCTGTCCTCCCCACCGATAGCTGATGTGTGGGGAGCGTTCTGGGGCACTATGGCTGCCGTCGCATCATCCAGGTGGGGCTGCACATTGGTGATGGTGGAGGGGATCCCCATTACCTGTAAAGTGCTTTGAGTGGTATGTCCAGAAAAGCGCTATATAAGTGTAAGCAATTATTATTATTATTATTATAATTATTATTATTATTATTATTATTATTATTATTATTATTATTAATCGGTGCAGGACAGCTACTGCTGGCAGACATCTATACTAAACAAGGAATGCGGAAGGCCAATATAGCCACTGACTGTCACCACCGCCCCTTGCACAGAGAATCTGAGCTCCTTCCATCAGGACGTCAATTTCGACCACCCAGATTTAAGTGTGTTAGAGCGAAGTCATGCTCTGTTCCCACGGCTATTAACTCGCTTCATTTACTTTATTGATTTCTTTCAACATGCATGTGTCTTATGCATGTATCTCACACACTGACGACCCAATTTCTTCATTTGTCTTTTAATCACGAGGATTTCTTTAAGCCGCTAACGTGTTTTTCTCATCATGTGCACGTCTTGTTTCTTATTTTATTTGTGGATGGGCTCGTGTCGTGCTCAGTGCATTGTGTATATTGTGTTATGTCTTTTACCTGCTGGCAGAGCAGATTTCCCATCTGGGACAATAAAGGAAGTAGGTTAATACTTCCAGCTTCTCCCTGCTGATGAGCAGTTCACGAGGAGCAGGGTGTTCCTCTACGCGCCACTCTTTGGCACCTTCCCATGACCACTGGCCCACAGTTAAGCCAAGCTCATTACCCGCAGAACAATAGCTGGAGTCTGGGAAGCCTGTGTTGTAGCACATCTGTGTGGTCATTTTGCAGGCTCTCCCTGATTGTCCTCCATCTCTCACAGATTTACTGGGTGTGGGTGGTGATTCTTTCTCCACTGTGCGGCAGTGATGTCATCATTCGCGCTGAATGGGATCGTGGTAAAAGATAGCTGTGGAAATACCGTACTGCGATGAACGTTCCAAAGGGGATTCCTCTTCGCGATTCAGAGCACAGCACTGCTGTGGCGTGGCATAGAAATATACACTATAGTATGGTGAAAACAAGGCCAATCAATCTAGAGACGGCAGGAATGTCCACAGCCTGCTGGACACCCCTGTCCAAGGGGAGCTGCATGGGAAAACTGGGATCTCCAGGGCCGGAGTGCACATCCTGACAAAGCCATTAAGATGTGAACAATAGCTGGGAGCAGGAAACCCGCGCTGGAGACTTCATCACACCCCCAGAGACTTCCTGAGGCGCTCGTCCCTCTGGCAGATCCAGGACACCCAGCGCACAGGGCCAGCTGGCTTGTGTGTGTGCACACGTGTGTCTGTGTACATGCAAGTGTGTGGGTTACTTCCCGGACTTCAGCTCCTCTTGCTAACTAGTTCTGAGAGTAGCCAAAGTCAACAAAATGTACCTCTTATTAAGCAATTACATAGCAATTAGACTTGCATCAGGCGTGGTTTAAGATAAGATACTTTTACTAGAACAGTATATGCTATGTCACAGTTATTGTAAAGCAGTTGTGTAGGTAAAAGAATTTCACTGACACTGCTGTCATTGTAAGTATGAGTGAGTACTGTACATATGTGTTCACTAGGTCAGTTCTGTATGGAGAAAGTATGAGTGAGTACTGTACGTATGTGTTCACTAGGTCAGTTCTGTATGGAGAAACACCCACAGTAAATGTGATTTCAGGCGTTGCTGGTTCTGAAAAGCAGCAGGCAGAACACCCGGGATGTTCCAAACTATCTCCAGCTTGCTCCACCGAGCTGGTTCCCTGTAGTAAGGACCACCACACCTTCTGTTCCCACATTTTGACTCTTCGACCCCGGGGCTCAGACTGTCCCCCGAATGACTTGCCTTACTGCCCTCTGTGGGTTTCCACGTCCTGCTCCCCACCAGGTTTATTGAACCCCTCGCCCCCCCACGCAAGTACACCCCCAGGAGCCACCCACCGCTCGGCCTCGCTGCTTTGCTGACGTGCAGTAATTGGCCCTTTGCTGGGCCCCCAGCTGTTAACGAGGGGAGAACAGCGAAAGCCGGGGCTGCCGCCGAACGCGCGACCCCCCGATCGCTCCATTAATAGGCTGCGCGCCACCTGTTATCGCAATTAATGGAGCTGAAAGGCAGCGAATTTGCCGTGCGACCGCAGCCCATTACAGGGGAGCGCTGGGGCACTGCTGCTGCCGTGACTCACAAGGGGCGACAGTGCAGCACTTTCCACTGATGAGGTCAAGAAAAAGCAAACATCCATTATTGCTCCGGCTGACGTCTTAGCTGTTATTACTGCCCTTGTTATTCTGCCCATCTGTGGCACTGCGGTGGATGCTGTGACCACTGATCTCGAGACGTCTCTGCCCCCCTCGCCCGGTTTAGGAGCTGTTCATGTGTCACTCCGATCCTGGAATTAGCACGCCTGTCTTCGCTTCGCGGCTCTCTGGCTGGAATTGGCGCTGCTGTGTTCTTGTCTCTCCTCTTCTGCTGTCTGACACAGTTAGTTCGGCCCTGCGAGTGAGGCCCGTGGCCGGGGAGTGTGTCGTCCCCTCCCTGTGCTCGGGCAGTCCTGGGAGCTGTGACGAGTTAATTAGAGCAGCCTGGCCTTATTGCTGTACGCCTGTCTGACTCTGACAGGCCAAGCTGCAAGGGTTGAGCCCTCACAGTGTAGCTGTGCTGAGTAACAGTGTTAGAACAGCAGAGCCTCAGACAGCCCTTCTCTCACTGACTTCGTTCTTTACTATACCCTCACCATGATTTCACTGCACTGTACTTAGCTTTTACCCTGATCTCACTGGGCCTCACTGCACTGTACTGTGCTTTTACCCTGATCTCACTGGGCTTTACTGCACTGTACTGTTACCAATGTTACAGTATGCCATGGTAAGCAGTGATGGTACCCCGTTCTATAGTAAAACTGTGGTTTTCACAAAAATGTTAAAAACTGGGACTTTTACTTCAAAACCTCTATGAAATGTACTGTTTTTGAGTGTTTCTGTCCAATTCGAGCTGCTTTAATTAAGTGACTAGTGAACATGTAATTAATGCAGTAATACTGCAAACCTCCTGGCTCCATCCCTGTCTCCGGTTGTTAGTAAAGTGCAGTTTTAACTTCGGCAGGAATGACCTCTCCTGTGTCCTCACTGTGTCGCTCTCCCCCTCTGTCCGCAGTCATCTACGTGTGCTGCTCCCAGGACACCTTCCGGCAGCTGATGATCCGCTTCCGGAGGGCCAGCATGCCCCTGGAGGAGTACGTGTTCTTCTACATCGACATCTTCGGGACCAGCCTGAGCTCCCGCGAGCCCAAGCCCTGGTTCCGAGGAGACCCCGACGACGCCGTCGCCAAGGAGGCTTTCCAGGTGGGCGGGGAATCCATCTTCACGGAGTTTGCGTGTTCTTTCCATGCTCACATGGGCTTTTAACCAGGCTCCGGTCTCCTTACCCTCTCACCCTCTTCCCAAAAAACACATCGGTCCGGTTGATGAGCTGTAATCCTGTAATTCAGGGGAACACCAGGTTAACAGTTCCGTTATCTCAGCCCCCAATGGCTGCCTAGAGCCACAGATCGTTTCACGAAATCCTGATGAACAGCAGGAACGCGCAAAAGCTCAAATGTCCAGAGACTTCCACAGGCGCTGTTCCAGGGAACCCACCGGGTTCCAGCAGGGTCAGAGGTCACAGGGCAGGCACGGCACCCTCTGGCTTGGCTGCGGAGTCACGTGCGTCTCTCCGGGCTCGAAGCAGGCCCGCAGACCGAAGACACCGATCGATACGGCGGGGGGGGCTGGGAAGTGGCGTGTGTGCTGGCCGGCCGCTGGGCTTTCCTCATTCCTAGTGCACAGTGTTCCTGCTCCCAGTTCCTGCTTGCAGCAGCCGGAGCGCGGAGGGGTCGAGGCCCACGGCCTCACTGCAGCGGCAGCCTTCATACCTGAAGAGCGCCGATTCCCAGCCTGCAGCCAGCCCCGCGAACTGTCTCCCCACGCAAGAGCCAGACGCTGCGGTAGCACAGACGCTGGCAGGCCCCTGGTTCAGCGCCCCTCCAGACTGGCCTGGGCTGCGCGGGCGAGGAGGTCAGGCGCACCGCCGGGCCTGACAGCTCTCCCCCGCGGCGGGGGGGGGGTCTAGAGAGGAATGCGCTCTGCATGGATAAACTCACACCGCTGCTCGGAATAACAGCCTGCCTGTCCCTGGGGGCTGCTGGCATTGGATGTAGAGTCAAGGTGGAGGGGTTCAGTTCCCTGCTGTCTTCACAACTGAGTCCTCAGCATGGAGGGGCAGGGGTTCAAGACACAGCAGGGACAGGACAGAGGCAGAGAGAGAGGGGAGGGGAAGGTGAGACACGGGGGCCGAGTTTTTAAAAATCATGAGCGCGTTATGTTTTATCAGTGGCTCAGCTGGGGTGAGCTCGGCCAGTCGCCCAGCCGAACCAGGGCTCTCACGCACTGCGCCTTCGGGTGACAGGGTGCCCATGTGACGCTCTCCCCTGTCTCTCCCCCCTGCAGTCTGTGATCATCATCACCTACACTGAGCCGCAGAACCCCGAGTACAAGGAGTTCCTGCAGGAGCTGAAGGTGGAGGCCAAGAGAAACTTCAGCTTCAACATCGAAGACACGCTGGTAAGCGCCCCACCCTCTTCAGAAGAACGGCGCTCCTTTCCACAAAGGGTGGTGGGAGTGTGGAACAGGCTGCCCGGCCATGTTGTTGAAGCTGGTATGCTGGATTGTTTCAGGCCACAGCTGGATGAGATTCCTCATCCTCACTGAATGGCCTCCTGTCATACGAAGCTGTTCTGGTGTTCAGGGGGTAGGAAGGCAGATGGCTGCCAGGTGAAGTTAGAGATAGAGCTGCACTGTCAAGGCCCTCTCGTTGGTAAGGGCTCACAGTGTGGGAACAACATAAAGCAAACAAGGAAGGGCTCTGCACTCCCACCCTGGCTGCTCCACGTCTCTTCACTCATCATTAAACCTGTGTGGTGATCAGGGACAGTTCATGAGCTGCACTGGTCTGAGCCGGCATGTGGCTGCCCTGTCAACTGTCCCCTGCCCTCTGGGTCTCTGTCCCTCTTCTGCACTCTCGTGCTCTTTCTTTCACCCCTGTCTGTCTCTCCCTCCTTTCCTCCCCTCCATCCCTCTCCCCCCCCCCCTCTCTGGCATTAATGAGTGAGTCAGCCCTGCAGCTCACAGCTGCCCTGACGGTATTTGCAGTTTCTATGACAACCTTGCTTTCATAGCTCTGTGTTGTTGTTTTTTTCAGCTCCATTTTCTCCTTTTACTTTACAATCAACACGTCCGTCCAGCAGTGGCGTTAATTAAGAGCGGATCTTACTGGGGGGAAGGCGGCTCGTTCTTTTCTGAAGTACAAACAAAAACAAAAACTCGGAACTGCAGTTAAAGGTATAGAAGCTGTGACTGACGATGACCCTCTACCCTCTCACTGGAGCTGTCGTATCTCTCTCCTGTGAGAACATGAGAAAGGTTACGTCTCCATTCAGTCCTTCTTGTTCATTTGGCTGCTGATTGCTGGACTGAGCCCAGGATCTCCTCCTACTCTTCTCCTGAAGGGTTCGAGGGCACCAGGAGCAACTGGGCGGCTTGTTTCAGTCTCCCACAGTCCTCCGTGTACAGACGTGCCTCCTGTCCTCGTCATTTCCACTTGTGTCCTGTTGAAATCCACGGACGCCCTCACAGCTGTCCCTAGCTCTTGCCGTTTCGGAACTGTGAATGTCTGGATCAAGTCCCTTTGTAATCTCTGTTTAGTTACTACAGGGAACCGGGTTCTTTAACCTGTCTCTGTGTGATTAAGTAATTAAGCTGGTTAGTGTTCTTTGAGCTAATTCAAGAGCTGCATGACACCTTTTGTACAAATGAAATTGTACAGGGTATTCCAAACCAGTTCGTCTTGATCCGTTGTAAAACGTCCACAAACCCTTCCTTGATTTCAGGTTTCAATGCTTTGTATTTGCTGGCCTTCTGGGGTATTTCTGCAGGCTGTGTAAAAGAGGGTTTGGGTTTGTTCGGATCTTTGTGCACCAGCGCGAATTGGTTTCTCTTAGCTCTTGACTGGCAACCTCGTCCGGTCCTTGTTTTAATTTCTCCACCTGGACAAGAGCAGACACTCCAGGACGGGAGCCCAGGCTCTCGGCCGATGAGAGTGTGGCGTCACGCGTACCCCGACCGCGCCTCTTGGATTCGCTCTCCCGCCTCCCCGCTGCGATCTCGCCCGTTTCGCTGGTTAATCTTCCCGTGAGTCGCAGCCCGGCCCGTCCCGGCAGACACAGCTCCCCGGAGCCAGCCTCGCAGACGCAGGATCATCTGCCCAGGCTCCCAGATCTTTCTAACAATAACCATACATCTCCTTCCTCTTGGACATGGATTTTTAAATTGCATTCGGTGGTAACAATATGAGTGATACCGTTCCCGCTACGTCAGCGAAGCTCTCGCACGGTACGTCAATCACATGTACGAGCTAGCGCTCCTGGGATGGCAGCCTCTCGAACCCTGGCTCCTTTCTGGGGATGCTTCCACTGCGCTGTGCGGGGTGTTGCTGCTCACCGTCCTACCGAGGCGACGGGAAACGATCGCCAGCCCGTCAGGAAGGTGTTGTCTTCGAGAGTGAGAGTGGCCTAGCCTCGGGGGACTCTCTCCGTGACGGAGCCTGGTCCGCCTGCAGGGGCAGAGACAGGAAGGGTCGAGGAATTCTTCCGGCTCTCTCGTCAAGCTCGGGATTTTCACCGGATTGGATCGCTGGAGTGGCCTGACACTTCATCTGCCGCAAGAGCAGTCCACGTTTTTCCTACCCCAGAGCGAGCCTCCCTTACTTTCTTCTCGTGAGCTCGGCGTGGCTGGGCGGTGTGTTCCCTGTGCCGTGGCTCTGCACAGACACTGCAGGCCAGAGCAGCAGAGACACCATTCACGCCTGCTGCCGGGGCGCCCTTGACTGGAGCTCCTGAGACAGGCGCGTTTCACAAGTCCTTCGAAAACCACAAGCAGCAATGCAGTATTTTATGGGAAGATAGATACTTTAAACACATAAGACACGTGAGACCTAGAGACATAGGTCTTTCCATTGTATTTCCATGTAAGGACAATGCTTTGCTTTTTGTTAGTTCTGCAAATCTCCTGCATACAAAATTCAGCTCTTACAGGAATTACACATAACCTGTTTCTTTCACTCCTCCAGCGGCTGCCTGTTACTCTGACATCTTTGCTTCTGAATCGTGAGGCTCTGCAGGGTTTTACAACATGCTGTCTGAAGGATTAACGTCAACAGGACGTCCCATCCTGCAGCTTCCAGTCTCCTAAACCCTGCACACGCCTGTGTGTGGGAACTGCCCTGGCTCTGCCGAGAGCAGGACGAGAGCGGAGCGGGCTCTCGGAAGCAGGAGGAGACTGGGTGCCAGGCGGAGCGCAGTGAGCGGGAGGCACCCCAGCGAATCAAATCTAATTAGCATCCCCCCCATCTCCCTCGCAGTCCTTCGGCTCCGCCGCCTTTTCAGCAGCTTGCTAATTGTCATCGGGGCAGCCGCTGGCTAATTAAAGGCACGAGGAGGTGCTGTTAATTGCCCTGTTCCGTGTGTGCTGAGAGAATGGGGAAGAGAAGCCCTCAGACCTCGTTCCCGCGCTCGCTGTGCGTCTCGGCTCGCGGGATCCGTCTGGCGGGGAAAAGCACAGAGCTCCTGGGCCAGACAGAGCTCTCAAGCGAACAGCCTCCCACCTGCTCTGCGCAAGCGGGCTCTCGTGCAGCCCCTCGGCGGCGAGTCGCTCTCGATACTTCTGACAGCCTCCGGGCGCGTCTGCAGGACGGAGCCGGGGATGAGGAAGGGGCTGCCGTCCACTGTTCCTCTACATGGGCACTGGCTCCTGGTCTCTGCTCCAGCTGCGCTCGGAGGGATGGAGCTGGATTAATCAGCTGCCTGATCAGGAGGAGGTTTTTTCCGATGTGCCCTCCAGATCTCTGTTGATTAAGCTTCAGGGCTGCGTGTGAGCTGTTCTGGACTGTGGCTCTCCAGGAGCAAGGTAGCAGACCCTGGTGAGACACCACAGGTCTCCTGAGCCCTCAATGAACCAATTAGTGACTTCATTGAATCCATTATTGGCTTCATTAAATCTACTTAATTCAATCTGTTATTCACTTAAATGAACCCATAATTGGCTTAATTGAATCTGTTATTGACTTACAATAAGTGCATAAGCAGCAGGCACAAGGCACAGGGCATGATACACCCAACATCTCGCAGGGCACACTCACACACACTCATACCAGGGCCAGAAGGACTGGACA